GTCCCCTCGCTGTCCTACGTAACCCAGTTGCTACCCTCAGTGGCCCCATAGTTGCCTTCTGTGGCCCCGCATTATCTGCACTTCGTGGCCCCCGCTCGTTCGCGCTCTTCGTGCCCCCATACGCATTCCCTTCGTGTCCCCGCTGTCGCCCTTCGTGGCCTACTTCGTGCCCTTCGTGGTCCTGCTGTCGTTCTCTCTCGCTCTCGCTTTCGCTCGTCGTCGCCTTCGTCGTCGTCGTCGCCGTCGTCTTCGACGTCGTCGTAGTCGTCGTCGTCGTCGTGGTCAGTCCCCTGTCCGTCCCTCTTGGGGTCGGGTCCACAATCCGCGGCCGCCCCGCCGATCAGCGCTGCCGCTGGCCAGGCCGACGGTCCGCGGCCGCCCCGCCGCTTGCCGGGGCCCGGCCTGCAGGGAAGAAAGGTATACCCCCCCCAAAAGGGGTTGAATCGAAGACGAAGGGGGCGGGTATCGAGGGTTTGGGAAATACGCGTTATTGGACACTCGAGCATATAAGGGCGACCAATATTAAACTTATTGTTGTTGTTGTTGTTGTTGTTGTTGTTGTTGGTGTTGTTCTTGTTGTTGGTGGTGGTGGTGTTGTTGTTGTTTGTGTTGTTGTTGTTGTTTTTGTTGTTTGTGTTGTTGTTGTTGCTGTTGTTGTTGTTGGTGTTGTTGGTGTTGTGTGGTTTAGGTGTTAGTGGTGGTGTTGTTATGTTTATTGAACATTATTTCTTCTTAAGAATAATTATTGTTGGGACCCCTGGTGCACGACCCCCCCGCCGCGCCTAGGCCGCAGCCACATTTTCATCATTTTCGTGAGGAAGTCTCAGGCAAAACGATTAGTACCGGATCCGGTTGTTTTGTTCCCCCCCGCTTTCCCTTGCAAAAAACACTATAAAATGAAAATTCTTGTTCTTACTTGATCAAATTGCAAGAATCCCTTGCAAAAAATAAGGTAAAGTGGACATTCGTGCGCGCAAGACGAAATCCTTCCAAAACCTTAGGTTTCGTAACGATTTTAACATAAAAACATCAAAAACCCAATGGTTTTTTAAGAAAAAATTGTCAAAATGTCCTTCCGCGCGCGCTGTCCGAATCCCACAAAACCAATGGTTTTTCAACATTTATGTTACATGAGCTCGCGCGAGCTACTTTTTCTTGTTCTAACATAATCAAATTTCAATAATCCCTTGCAAAAAATAAGGTAAAGTGGACATTCGCGCGCGCAAGACGAAATCCTTCCAGAACCTTAGGTTTCGTAACGATTTCAACATAAAAACATCAAAAACCCAATGGTTTTTCAAAAAAAAATGTCCAAATTTCATCCCGCGCGCGCTGTCCGACTCCCACAAAACCAATGGTTTTTCAACATTTATGTTACATGAGCTCGCGCGAGCTACTTTTTCTTGTTCTAACATAATCAAATTTCAATACTCCCTTGCAAAAAAAAGTAAAGTGGACATTCGCGCGCGCAAGACCAACAAAAAACACGACGATCTCAGGAACTTGCCCCAAAAATGTGACCAACTCCGCTCTCTCTGTCTCTCTCTCTGTCTGCTCTCTGTCTCTCTCTCTGTCTGTCTGTGTCATGTATTGTATGTCACAATTGCAGGATGCTGGGCACACGCGCGCCCCGAATAAGTGACCAAGTTCTGTGGGTGTGTACCCCACGCCAGTGTAGTAGCCACGGTCGTCCGCACGCCACGAAGTGAAGTGTCCCAACGTCATAGGGCGGGAAGCTGGGTTTGGGTGGTCGCGAAGAGTCGTTTGGATATTTGGTAGAGCTTGAACTGCCCCCCCACGAAGTGGGGGTATTGTCTCGCGTCGCATGAAAACCCTGGCACTGGTGAGAACACTGAGCGTTCGGGTAAAATGATTGTTGCTGTTGTTGTTGCAGTTGTTGCTGTTGCTCTTGAATTCTCACTCTTGCAGAATAAGTGTTGTCGACCCACCCTCCGCAAGTGCAGATTGTATTTTTCAGCTGAAGTGGCCCCCTCGGGGCTCGCACCCTTTTTGTAATCAAAATGAACGCCTTTTCTGATCAAGCTGTGCCCCTGGCCCACCGACTACAAAAACAATTTCACCGGCCTAATACCTCATGTCTTGGATTCCGAAATCGCGCTCTTGCACGGCACTTCCGCACAATGTATGCATGAATCGCGCTCTCGCGTGGGACTTCCTCGCAACTTATTCAGACGCCGCGCCCTCGTCCGTCAAAAATCATGCTGTCGCTTTGAGTGTTCTAACGGTTTATTGTGGAATCGCGCTGCCGCTCGAGACTTCGTCGCGCCTCATGCAGAACGCACGCTTCAGCATCCCGCCTGGACGACCTGGCCGCCTTGGCCCGCATTCCTGACCCGCCCGCTAGGGTCTGCCCGCCCGACCTGCCCGACTTGTTCTGCCACGTGTCTGTTGTTCCTAGCCCCGTTCCTGCTAATTTCTCTCGTGCTCCGTCCTTCTCCCTCCCACTTCCATCCGTCCTCTTTTCCCCTGTTTTAAGAACTGCCCTACATGCACGTGTCAGGTAAGGAAGATCGACCCCCAACTGGGCACGATCGAAGACGAGCAGGTCGGGCACCGAGGGTTCATGCTATACGTCTTGAGTGGCACGCGAGCGGATAGGAACGAGCAGTCTGAGCATGATTGACGTTGTTGGTGTTGTTATTGTTGTTGCTGGTGCTGTTGCTGTTGTTGCTGAGTTCTCAGTTCTGAAGAAGAATTATTGTTGATCCCCCTCCGATGCCCATTCTGTTTGTTCAATTGAAGTGCCCCTCCTGGGGCTCGCACCCTGTCTTTTATCAAGGAAAGCCTGGTGGCACCAAACTGGGTTGTTGGCCTCCGGCTTACTACAACAGCAACCGTCGTGTTAAGACTGTTCGCTCTGATCTGCTCGCGGGCCACTCAACACGTATATCCCAGACCCTCGATGGCATATCTTTCTTACCTGCAACGCGTATCTCGTGCAGTCCCTGAGGCAGAGACAGACAGAACGCATGGAAGGAAGGGACATCGGGGAGGGAGGAGGATGGAGCATGAGAGAGGGAGAGTAGCAGGAGGGGGGCAGGAGCAGAAAACACTTGGCAGAACCAGACAGGCAGATCGGGCGGGTAGACCCTAAAAGGCGGGTCGGGAAGGCGGGCCCAGGCGACCAGGTCGAGCAGGTGGGTTGCTGAAGCGTGCGTCCTGCATGAGTCGCGAGGTAATCTCGATTGAAAGCGCGATTTTCAAATAAATCGTGAGGAAATCCGCAGCGAGAGCGTGATTCCCGAGTGACGAAGGCGCGGCGCTCGAAGACGAAAAAGGCGGGTATCGAGGGTTGGGGATACACGTGTTGAATGGCACGCGAGCAGATAAGAGCGAACAGTCATAAAATATTTGTTTTTCTCGATCTCGAATTTCTACAACAAAATATGGTTGGTCCCCCTTTCGGTGACCAGTGCATTTTTCAAGTAAGGTGCCCCTCCCAGGGCTCGAACCCTTTTTAAAAAATCGGGGAAAGCTTGGTATCACCGACTGGGCCCCGAACTGCAGCAACAACGGCTCCCGCCTGAAACCTCCTCACACTTTATTGCAACATCACGCTCTCACGCAGAACTTCCGAACACTTTCTGTTTTCTGCAGGAATCGCGCTCTCGCGTGGGACCTCCTCGCAATTGATTCAGACGCCGCGCCCTGGACACTCAGGAATCACGCCCTCGCTGTTGCCTTTCTCGCGAGCTACTTTGGAATCGCGCAGTCGCTCGAGACTTCCTCGGGATTCATGCAAGACTCACGCTTCAGTAACTCGCCTGCTCGACCTGGCCGCCTGGGCCCGCCTTCCCGACCTGCCCGATCGGGTCTGCCCGCCCGATCTGCCCGTCTGGTTCTGCTACTTGTTTTCTACTCTTAGCCCCCGCTCCTGCGATTTTTCTCTCGTTGTCAATCTTCCTCCCTCCCCCTTCCATCCGCCCTCTCTTCCTCTGTTTTAGAGGCTGCGCTAAATGCACGTGGCAGGTAAGGAAGATATACGTATCCAAGGAGATACGATCGAAGACGAACAGGGCGGGTACCGAGGGTTTGGGATATATACATATCTATATATACGCGTTGAATGGCACGCGAACAGATAGGAGCGAACAATCTTCGCGACCCACCGCGCGACCCAACGGCAACCCATCCCGCGACCCACCCGAGACCCACCCGCGACCCACCGCGCGCCCGCCCCCTCACTCCTATCCGCAACTGTGGAGTGCTACATCTGTTTTTGCTTCGGGCGGATGGCCCCACAGATGAGATGGTCACGAGGGCAAACGAGGGCTGCCGCGGGCCACTGCTGGCAGAATCGCACTCCGGGGCGCGGCCCCCCCCCCAAAAAAAAAACAATTCCTCGGACGGCTAAGCGATTCTACAGCTGCTGCTCGCAGTCGGCGGGGCTCCCTTGATCGGGGGTCGGCAGACTGGGGGCTGGGGCCTTGTATTTTGCAGCTGTTTCGGGCGCGCAAACCCTGACTCCCAAGGGCCCTGTCATGCGCCCAGCCCAGATGTTCAACATGATTTCCACACCGCACCCAATATCCCACAGGGGCGGCTCGTGGCCGGACGAACCCACACTTGCAAGAAACAAAAACTGCAATGCAGAAAAAAAAAAACGGCATTGCAGTGTTTCAGATGTCCCGCAAAAGTGCTGCAGAACAAAAAAGCTGCAGTGCAGAAGAAAAATCCTGCAATGCAGAACAATCTGCATCGGAAAGGTCCTGCGGCGGCAGCGCGGCTTGCCTGGCCCTGGCTTGGCTCGCTGCACGCGGCTTGCGAGAAGCTCGCTTGCTTCGTAACGCAACCGAAAAAGGTGCCGTGGCAGGCCGGCTCCGTTCCGGAGGCCTTATTAAAGGGCATAAGAAGAAAGTCCACCCCGGGTCTGCCAGCCCCAGGTCTGTGTTCCCACGAGTCGGTCAGGGGTCCATCAAGCGGAAAAGCGTGTGTCCATTACGTAGTATGCCCTCGCATGCACGCGCGCAAGCAGACCTGCACGTTCACATACAGTCATATGTCCAAGCGTGTGCAGGCGTTCAGGTGCCGATTGATCTCAGTGTACGGCACGCGCAAGCAAACTACAGATGGCCCATGCTAGGCGATGTACTCCTGAGTTTTGAATGCCAAACTCAAGCACGCATGTGAGAACCCACGCATTGCAGTCGTGATTTGGCGGTGAAAGCCCCCCGCTGATGCCTGAGCGTCCTGACGAGAATTGCAGCCCTGATGGCATATGCTGACCAGCTGGGGCTCCACGGAGATCAGGGTCTTGATGACAAGGTCCTTGATGCGCTGCATCATCAACTCATAATTCAGCCCGTTTGCGGCGAAATAATCTCGCAATTGGGTTAGAGACCACTTGGAGGACACCGGTGAGTCACCCGGTGCCCCGTGGTTCTCCCCCTCTTCCTTGGCCTCCTCGCATTCGCCTTCTGCCTCCGCATCCTCCTCTTCGCCATGCTCTTCCTGGGGGCAGAACAAAAGCTCCCACTTCTCGCCCCGGGCAAGAGGGGCAGAAGACAAGAAAGTGGCGGGGATTCATCGGCAAGGCGGCTTGTTCAGTCAGGTGTCCCTCCTCGCTGTGCGGGGACGTATACCGCGTCGAGGCTGTTGGCGTGGGCGACGGTGCCAGCTCCTCTGCAGCAGGAGTGTCCAAATTCTTCACATAGCCATCAGCGTGCTTGTTCACAGAATAGTTGGTGAGGTGCATCGTCCTCTTGGGGGTCCCATCCTGCATTAGCCACAACTGCCGATCCTGCATGAACTGAACCAGGTCCTTTCCCTCCTCACCTCCTCTCCAGCAAGATGAAGGAAGACGAAGAAGACATGAAGGAGGCGTACAAAGAAGGCGGATGAAGAATGGGGAGGGAAATCAGTACCGCTACCGCTACTCCACGGACCTCTCCTGGGGTGCGTTCTGGCCAGAAATTCCAAGAGAATCCAGCCGTGGCAACGAGGGCCCTCCAGGACGGGCAGTGGGATCGGAATCTCTGCTCCTCTGGAGAAGGAGAAGCAGGAGGAGGAGGAGGAGGAGAAGCAGGAGGAGGAGGAGGAGGAGGAGGAGGAGGAGGAGGTTGAGGGGGAGGAGGAGGAGGAGGAGGAGGAGGAGAGGAGGTTGAGGGGGAGGATGATGAGGAGGCGGAGGAGGAGGAGGAGGAGGAGGAGGAGTAAGAGGAGGAAGGAGGATGAGAAGGAGGAGGAGGAGGAGGAGGAGGAGAGGAGGACGAGGCTGACGAGATGAACTCCACCACGAGGGGACACGTCGCTCCCCTGGGGGACGGCTCGAGCCGAGGACCCGCGCCCGCGCTTGCCCTGGACACCTGGGCTCCCAAAGCTGCTCGTGGCTGCCACGCCACCTGGAAGTGCGCCCGCCGGCCTCCAGAAAGGAGCCGGGCTCAAAGTGCGTCATCGTATCCTCCTCCTCCTCCTCCTCCTCCTCCTCCTC